CCCCCCCCCCCCCCCGTCCTTGGCAGGGAGGACGAAACACGTGTTGCAGTTGACGGTTTGATTGCAACCGTGGAACCCTTTTGAGCTACAGTTGCAGTAGACAAAAGACGGTTATTGAAAAAGGAGCGTAATTCTGAATTTAAAGCACAGCAAGAGGTGTTCACTTTTATTGAAATTATTTATTCTGTTCCGTTGATTCTTTAAACGTTTTCTAAGTTCCTGAGATCTTTTACATGTCTATAGTGGAATTCTCCATGTGTGTGTGTGTGAGAGAGAGAGAGAGAGATTAGATATAGTAGGAAAAATGTGTCATGTTTTGAACAGAGAACCCTGTGCATCCCTGATCCCAAAATGTTGCTTTCCCAGGCAAATATTCAAACAGTTTCTAACGAACAGAATCCTGAAGGACCCAAAGCAGAGGCGTTTCTTCAAGTCCAATGACCTCTACGAGCTCTTCACCCTGAGCGCCCCGGACGGAGCCCAGGGGACAGAGACCAGCGCCCTCTTTGCAGGTGTGTTGTGCCAGGGCAGGTGCCCTCGCCTAATAACACGTGCAGGGAGAGGCGTGAGCAGCCGGTGACGCTTTGTGTGATGCCTTTCAGGAACCGGCTCTGATGTTCCAGCACCGAAGCGGCCACTGAAGCGTCGCAACGCCAACGTCTCTGGATTTTCCAGAAGGCCCCGTGCAAAGCCGACCTCCGGGCAGTCCGATTCCTTCTTGGCAAGGAACCGTGAAACTGCGCCCCTTGCAGCGGGGGAGTCGGTGGTGGTCGAGGGAAGCTCAGCGCTGTCCCCTTGTCCTCTTCCAAAAGACCCTGCCCAAATGCCCGCTGCCAGTGCGGATTTGTTCCTGGGGACAGGAGAGGAGCCCTCGGGGCTGGGGGAGGAGCCGGGCCGAGGAGGAGGAGGAGGAGGAGGCACATCGGAGGAGGGGAAGGGCCGGGAGAGGCCAGGCTCCAGGGCACAGCAGGGCAGCTGTCGGCCGCTCGCTCCTCCCGGGGAGCCGACCTCCACCCCGGGGCCTCGCAAGGGCAAACGGAAGAGGCCCAAAGGTTCTCGGGGTGCCAGATTCGAGGGGGTGCCAATTCCTCACCTGGTGAAGCAGAGAAAGTACCAGAAAGAAGATTGCGAAGAGGGGCTGCGAGAGCCAAAGAAAAGCGATGATTACGTTTTGGAGAAGCTTTTCAAAAAATCAGGTAACTTTCTTCTGTTGTGCTATTTTGTTTAAAAATAATTCCAAATGTGACAGAGATCCAAGTAATTTATTTCAGTTTATTTTCCCATAAAAATAGTTGCTGATAGATACAGACACAGCAGGGAAATAATGACAGTCTAGATGAGTTTGTGCACGTTTATTTATTACTTTCTGCCTTTCACTCAGGAGTTGGAAAGGACAAACTACGGCTCTCCTTCCTTCTATTCCCCCCCCCCCCCCGATCGTGCCCAGTCGCAAGGGCCGAGGGTCTAATATAAGAACTAATATCCTCTCCCTAATAGCGAATCGATTGAGGCAAGAAAGTCAGTCGTGCACCCACTTCATCAGGGTTCCTTGTGCGTCCCACTGTTTCTCAACCATGGCCACCTGAAGAAGCCTGGACTTCAACTCCCAGAATTCCCCAGCCAAGGAGATACTGGCCGGGACAGATTGTGGCATTCTCCACATTTTGTTCTGGGACAGTTACCGGTTTTATTTTTGGTGGTTTGGGCAGGGCCCCCTTTTCTAGAAGCGAGGCAGCCGGTTGAAGCAGGTCGGCCCTGGCCCAGCACTTCTAGGCCAGCGGTTGAGCCTCACGGGCAGAGCGCCTCTTGCTCACACCCAGGCGAAGGGAATGGGGGAGATGGGGGTTCTAACTCCTAACTCCTTCCTCTCCCAGGAATACACAGCGTGATGAAGCATGACGCCATCATGGAAGCTTCCAGTCCAGACTATGTGTTGGTGGAAGGCGAGGCCAGCCGTGTCGCTCAAGACGCCCTCCGAGCCCTGAAGATTTCTCGACAACGATACCGGGGAGCTGCTTCCACGCGGACGGATGACGCCCCAACCTGGTTAAAGTAAGCCTGCTGGCCCTCCTCCCTCCGCGTCCGTTACGACGGCACTCCGCTTCATGGACCGGAGAGTTGGTCTCTCTCACCGTGTAATCTTATTTGGGGATCTGCTGCATCCAGATGCATAACTTTTTCAGAGAGAAAGTGAACAGCCGGCCCTGTTGGAAATCCTTGCATCTTGCTGAGATGCGCAGATTCTGTATTTTAGCCATTACAAAATAGCTGTAGAGCTTCAGTATCTAAAAAGGAAGCTTGGAAAAAATCTACTGATGCCACCTACCCTGACGCTTGTCATATGTCTGATTAACGAAACACTTAAAAGGACTTTCAGGCATATTTTTTCCTAAAAGCATTTATTAAGGTTACAGAGACGTCAGTACAGCATGGTGGAAATGCTTAGGTCTGGCTTCTCTTCCGTTACGCATATACATTCTAAGCATTTCCCCCCCCCCCCTTATTTTGGGGTCATGGTTCACATCTTCCAATCAACTTGGAAGATGTGATTTA